CAATATCTGAATATCTGTTCGACAAATATCTGGATATTTCACGACAGAATGCAGTTTCTGCATTTTCGTGAAGATATCCCTTAAAGGTTCCCTTTTTACCGATTTTAAACACCTAATCATGCATTTCTAGGCGTGTTCAACATTTCCCAACAACAAGTTATCATCTTTTAGTCATTAGATGCATCAAGGTACCATTTTTAAGCCTTAAAACTCAAGTTAAAGGTTGGTACAACAAACCAAGGCTCAAAACTCAGAATGGAGATGCTCTTGGAGCTCAACACAGCCCCTCAAGTCTGACTCAAGGAAGATGCACGAAAATGGCTTCACAAAGGTTGGTTATTTAACACAAAGGTCACCACTTGGACCTCCAAAAACCAAAACCAAGCTTCTCCCAACCCAAAACCAACAAGTCAACAACCAAACCTCCCTCACACAGACTTCACAACTCAGAAACAACACCACAAACCCCTTCCCAAAGGTGACTCTCCCTCACACAAGTGTTTAAGAAGAAGAAACCACAAAGAACAAGGAAGAAATGGCTCCAAGACTCTCAAGGAAGAAGAACACAGCAATGGAACAGTGCCAAGGAGCACTCAGCCACCAAGTCACGTATAGAATTCTGATCCTAGGGTTTTGTGCCCATAATGGGAGTATTTATAGTCCAAACACACTTAAACACACAGTATTAACTTTAATTGCTACGCTTAGCATTTTAATCCCAAACTTTGGATTATGAAACTACATAATTTTCTAAGATTTATCATAATTTTTTTATATTTTTCTGAGCGCCTTTCCGGTACGCGCTTTTCAAAGCCAGTACCGGTTTCTAGCACCAGTTCTCATTATTTGGACTTGAAATTCGTTTTACAAGTCCTACATAATATTCTAGTAATTATCATGCACTTACTTTAATATTCTGGGATACTTTTTCGGCACGCATTTATACCGACTAGCAGAACCGGTATCTGCACTTTTCTTCCGAAAAGTGACTTTTAGCATTCTTAATCACTTATTATGATTATTAAGCCTCATAAATAATTATTAGGGTTAATTATGGAATCATTTCCTATTTTTGCATAATTAATTAATGGTCTCAGTAATTAGCCAACACGCAACCCTAGGAAGATAAAAATTGAGTAGACGGTCTCAGATGATAAAAATGACCGTGGAAATGGATTCAGAACGAAAAATTGAGTGGTTAGACACGTTTCAGAAAAATCAGTGAATAGTGTTTTTACGAGGTCAAAATACCGTGGTACGATTGCACCGTAAAACGTTCCAGTTGAGATTTGAGTTCTAGGTTTAAAATATGAGTTATAAATAGTCTATAGAACTAGGAAATATGATTTTTGATAATATTTGATGGAATTAAGTCAGTTTGGGGAAGCGTGCCAACAGCGCGCGCAACAGCTTAAAACAGTGTTTTCTCCGAACGACCGGAAAACTACGGATTCATCTGATCAAGTATAATTAAATGGGAACAGTTAATGTTAAAAATTAGGGTTTTTAAATAGGTTGTGAATTTACGGACGTTTAGTGAAAGTTCAGACGTGTTTTAAAACGCGTGGGACCCACCCCACTTAAATCCTACTTAAGCCACATCATCTCCTCACTATTCACTTCTCTCTCTCTCCTTGGCCACGCAACAGCCCCCTCCCCCTTGCCATCTCCACTTTGATTTTTCTTTTCCCTTAAACCACTCATTTCTTCATCAAATCCAACAAATTTTGTGTTGAAATTTGTTGTAAATGGCCTTCTAAACCCATTAGCACTAGTGGCAAGCCATGAATCTAGCTAAATCTTGCGAAAATCCCTCCTTTTGGCTGCGGATTGCTTGTGTAGATTCATGAACTTGGAGCTTCTAGGTGCTCCAATGGTGGAGTATAGTTAGGAGGAGCCTTGTACCTTCCATTTGGGTGAGTTCTCTTGCATTTTAAACGGTGGAATGTGATGATGAATTCTTGAACCCTAAACCTTGAAATTTTGATGTGTGATGTTAGAGAGCTCAATTGGGGAAAGTTTGTACATGAAAGTGTCTTAGAATAATGTGTATTAGCTATAAATGCCACGAAAATTTTAGGTGAAAAATATGGATTTTTAACATAGAATATTTTGAGGTGTCATGACTTGGATTTTGGAAAATGTGTTAAGATGTTATTGGGGAGTTGTTGGATGATTATATGTTGATATAATGGTGTTGTATGAGGTGTGGAATGATTAAAATTAATGGATTTTTAACATAGAATATTTTGAGGTGTCATGACTTGGATTTTGGAAAATGTGTTAAGATGTTATTGGGGAGTTGTTGGATGATTATATGTTGATATAATGGTGTTGTATGAGGTGTGGAATGATTAAAATTAAGTGGGAATTCCTTGGAAATTCCAAGTGTGCAATTCGGTCATATAGAGAGCTTTAGGGAGTTGAGATTGTTTGTGTTGATTGGATGATATATCAAGTGTGGAATGGTATTAAAATGGGTTGTGTGGTGGTTGGAAAGTGGTAGAATCAATGAAAAATAATAAATTGTATCTAGGGTCACAAAGGAACCTAAAGTGAAGTATTTAGCAAAACGATGCTTTAAAAACGTAAAATGGAAAAACGGCACTTGAATTAGCCTCTTGGCAACCTAAGGATGTGTAATACAATGAGAAAGAAAATTTAGAATTTTTTTTTTGAAAATTTGCCTTGTTTGGCCGAACCTTCCATGGGGAGGGAGGTGATTTTGACGTTTTTCGTGTTTTGATGGAATTGACGTATACTGATGGTTGTACATGGTTATGTAGGTTGCCGTACGTCGATTTGAATCCCGAACCGTGAATCGGTGGAGTGCCCTTGGTCCTGGCCAAGTGGATTGAGGTAAGTGATTGGATCAATGCATGTATAATTATGAATTAGCATGTGTTGTGTGAATTTTGAGTAATTGGAAATGTCCTCTGGGTAGGCATTCTGTTGACTAACAAGTTTGGGAAATAAACGGCTGTTGAGCTAAGTGGAGGAACAGATTAAGGTAACCTCTTGGTACTAGGGCTTATTTCCCTTGTGTGTTCCACCATGTCAGTTGATGGTAGTGGTAGGAAATGTATATGAGTAGTGTAGAACAGCATGAGCATGCATGTAGTATTTATGAGGGTACTTATGTACCGAGTCTCTAGCCAGTAGACAGTGTAGCTTTCGAACAGTGTGGACTTCCACTGGATAGGTCTCCGAGAAGGAGTTCCAGTTGACCTAGGGTCGTGGTGTGTCATCCGGGTAGGAGCACACTAGGAAGTCTCGGGTGTATATGGATGGAAGAGGTACCTTGGTTGTGGTTCTTGGAACACACCTTGGATGAGACCCGTAGGCTTATATGCCGAGGACGTTGCGTGGTATTGGTAGCTACCATTCCAGTTTCGTCGTATTTTATATCCCGATATTCCCCAGTTTCTCTAAATCCCTTGCTTTATCCCGTTTTGAAAGTGGTTGTTTTATATTACTTATATGCATCGAAGTGAACCATTGGGCGGAGTTTTCTCCAGAACCTCTGGGTTACTGAGATATATCCGTATATCTCACCCTGTCTTAGGGCTCTATTTCAGGAGGTAGCAGTGGCAGTGGAGCGACATGCAAAAAGCCCGTAGGATGACTAGTGGGAGCACCTTTACCATTTTGCATTTTGTTGGCCATGTGGCCTAGGAAAGACTTAGGGAATGAACATCTCATATGTATGTAGGATGAGTTCATTAGCATATTTGTTCATGTCGTTTTGCCTAAATCTAGTAGTGTGTGTCATTTAAGCTTATGTTTCGATTTGTAATTAAAGTTGTAATATTTATAAGTTGTAATTTGAAGTTGAAGTTGTAAGTTGTAATATGTAAGTTAAATGTTGTAAATGTACAAGAAATGCATGATATACTATGATGGAAGGGCTTTAGGCCTATTGTAGGTTTATGATTACTTGTATGTTGGAAAAATGCATGAGAAGGGACCTTGTTGATTGAAACCGTTTAAGGATTTAAAGTGAGCTATATTGTGTAATAAATATAAACTGAGTTGGGTTGTAAGTGCCCCTAGGAATTGTTGGTCCTTGTGTGTGCCACCCATTGGATTATTAGGAACATTCGAGGTACTAGTGATTTTATGCAAATTTGGGGATTTTAGGATAAACAAAGGAAACTCTGGCGAATTTTCTGTAGAATTGGCAGATTTTAGACGAACTTCGGGAGAGCATATCCCCCTCCATAGAGGTCCGATAGGGACGAGCCATACTCTATTTTAAAGCTTGAGCTGCTCCCTACATGGTGCTAAAATATAAGCAAATTCTGGGTTGCAAGCAGCCCTGTAGGATTTATAGAACACGGACTTTCCAGAACCTCCTTATGCAGGGGCTGTTTCTCGCAGTTTTTGGGAAATAATTCCCACTTCTTTTCTCAGTCAAATGAAGTGTATGATATACCAAATTGAAGTTTGAGGTGTCTAGTTTGTAGTATAAAAATTTGAGAGTAATTGGATGAGTGGATTTTGTGTAGTAATTCGTGGAGTGTGAGTGGTTTTGAGCTGTTTTGGGGTTGGTTGGCAGTTTTGCTTGTCCAACTTCAAACGACGATAACCGGAGCAAATGAGCTCGTAATTGAGTGTGTGATAGCTTCTTAGAAAGGTAATTAAGTAAGAAAAAAAGATAACTAAAAAGAAAGGTCTGATTTGGTCAGGTGTGTTCGCAGGAAAATAATTAGTGAACCATGTTCGGATAGGTAAAAACGTAAGATTGACAAATTGGCTAAGTGGGTTTATGGGAACCCCTTAGTGACTTATAATAAGTAAAGTAAGATGTAAAAAATAGTTTAATAATTATTCCGCAAGAGTTTACAGCTATGGTCACAGCTTTTAATTATTGCGCTTTTTATCATTTTAAATGCTCGCGTAATAATCGGAAAAAGTTTATTCGCATTTTTATAAATGAATTGCTGTGATTGTAATTGTGTTTAATATCATAATTAATGTTTATAATACCGGTGTACAACGGGATGTTACAACTTTCATCAACTACAACAAAGCTCCCTGCACATTGAGCAAGCATATGAGGTTGGTTGATCAACGATGTGAAGCCAGACCAAGAAAGTAATAGTTTTGAAAACTCAATAGACATTTCAATTTATAGATCATGTTTCAACCTCAAATTTTTTGGCTGATGGCTTGGACGTAGATGAATAGATGGTTCTCTAGCCAATTCCCTAGACAATGTAAATAGCCCACAATCAATGTTTCAAGCAATATAGAGTCTACAGACTATAAATATGTTCAAGTTTGATAAAACAGATTGATTGACAAAATGGGTTAGTGGAGTGATATGGACTAACTCATTATTAGCATAAGAGAATTTTCCCAATTCTTGAATAATGAAACACATCTAGTTAGTTACAGTTGACAAGAGAGCCCCTATCCATTCTATGATTGAGATTGATCATACTTTCAATCATGTCTGGAGCCTAGTGATAACACAAAATCATTGGTTCAACGAGAAAGACATAACACTGTCAATAAAGCAATTAACAAAAGAAAATAAATAACATATTGAGTAGCAAGTTAAAACAATAAGTACTGCATTGCTTCTTAAATAGGACAAACCTCGTTTTATCCACATGCTTTTCTGAAATTTAGTAGGAAATAGAGCTAGTGGTTTCTCACCACGTGCATCCATGACCTTGAGACAAATCAAGATGGAAAGATAAATAAGAACTATATCTATATATATCTGTGATCACATAAACTCTAATTTGGAAAACATCACTGTCGTCGATTTTCAGTCATCAACGTCCGGAGAACTTGGGGGCTTATTTCTGTTATTTCAGGGACCAATTTGTTCCTTTTTTATTGCTAGGGACTGAAAAGGAATACGTGGATATTGCCAGGGACTAAAAAAGGTATTTACTCTTATGATGATCATTCAACTTATGTTAAATGCGACATAGAATTAGATGATGCAGATCCAATAGAGGATTAATTGTCGTTTGAATTGCTATATAAAGATATTGATATCGTTGAAGATTAAGCAAATTTGATGGTAAATCTTCTCCTAGCAAGGGAGAATTTTGGGCTATTGTGTATGATCCAACCAATTAATGGATTCATTCAAGAAGTTTGGAGTCAAACATAATTATAGCTCATTAAGCATGACTCATATGTTCAAAGAAACAATAATACGAAAACTATCATATTACAATCAGATCAAAGTCAAAATGAAGTAGCATACTTGATTATAATTGTTCGGCGAAAAAAGGAAAGCAACAAAATTGTCGTGATTTTTTATGCATCTAAATGATTTAATTTTACTTAATTATCTTTATTTTTATGAGGTATCTCTCATTATATTTATCTTTTGAAAATTTATTTATTTTTAAGATTTTAAATTCTGAATTAATTTATAATTAGTCTATAAAAGGGTGTTTAATAGTCACTAACCTTATTTTAGGAGTTTAATATTTTGTTATTTAATAATTATATTTGAGAATTGAGAATTTTTCTTTTGTCAAATCTATTTTTTATTTAGCTAATTTTTTTTGCGCTTTCTGCATGAGCCATTCTGCCAAGTTTACCCTTTATATAGTAATTTATTGTGTAAGAGTTGATTTGTTCTTGCATATACATATAATAAAATTTACCTTAGATGCCAGTTTTTTTACTTTTCATTTTGGTTATAGATTCCATTCATTTTGGATTGAGGAGAGAGAGAGGGCTATCACAAGTAGTATAAAAAATATAAAATAAAAATAAAAATAAAAATATTAGGCTAGCCTAAGAGGCTCTAAGGCCGAGCTTTTAAATTAGAGCCTGAGGCCTTTTTATTAAACGAGCTTTTATACAAGTCCAAGCCTTGTTCCAACAATCAATTTTAGACATAAAAGCTCAGGCCTTCACGAGCCGAGCCAAAGCCCCTGTAAGGCCCCTGACTCGTTTAGCACCCCTAATCAATGCGATCCATTTGGGCAAATAAAAAGAAAATGCATTTTTATTTTAGATGCCAGTTTTTTTACTTTTCATTTTGGTTATAGATTCCATTAATCATCTATTCTCCGGTAGCGAAGCTCAATGCACCCGCTATTCTAATGAGGGGCTAGCCTACAGAGCCGTACCCCGAGGACAAGTTGACCGGAGGAGGTTGAATGGAGATACCTCCATAGTTATACTAAAAAAACAGAAAAAAAGAAAAAAATGCGTTTTCATAAAACAGAAAAAAGGAAATGTGTTTACCATTTTCTTTTGTTATTTTGTACCCTCTTTCGTTTATTTATTTATTGGTTGTAGTACTCTCTTTCTTTTGACTATTTAACAACTCGAGTTTGGAAACATAAAGAAAGCGAAATTAGTAACATAGCTACTTCACTACTAAAAAAGTTTCAATTTTCAATGAAAATTTTTCTGTCAAAATTAAAGATAAAATTTTTGACGAAAAACATATTCCATAGAAATTTTATTAAAATAAATAAAAAGAAATTTTATTTGTGAATTTTTTGACGAAAAATGAATTCCGTGGAAAACCTTATAAAAATAAAAATAAAAATTTAAGTATATTTGCAAATTTTTCGACGGAACGGAAAATGAATTTCGTCGAAAAATTTATAAAAAAATAAATTAAAAAGAAATTATATTTGTAAATTTTTCGGCGAAAAATGAATTTCGTTGAAAATCTTATAAAAAAAATAATTTGTAAATTTTTCGACGGAAAATGAATTCCATTGAAATACTTATAAAAAATAAATCAAAAAAACATTATGTTTGTGAATTTTTGTAGGGAAAATGAATTCCATAAAAAATTTTAGACTAAAAATAAATTTCATCAAAAATCTTATAAAAAATAAATCAAAAAGAAATTATATTTGTAAATTTTTGGGCGAAAAATGAATTCCGTCGAAAACCTCTTAAAAAATAAATCATAAAAGAATAAATCATAAAAGAAATTATATTTATGAACTTTTCGACGGAATCCTTTTCCGTCGAAAATTTTTGACGAAAAAGAATTCCGTTGAAAAGCCTTTAAAAAAGAAATTATGTTTTTGAACTTTTCTATTGTATTCTTTTTATTTCGAAAACCCTTTAAAAAATAAATTAAAAAAGAAATTGTATTTTTTTTCTAGAGAAAAGGAATTTCGTCGAAATCCTTATAAAAATAAATAATAAAAGAAATTATATTTATGATGATACTTAAATTTTATTATATTCATACTCATAATCTATAGCAATCACTTTATTTTTTTTTATTACTTTCTTATTAAATAACTTTTAGCACAAAATTAAATTTGTAAAAGAAATTTAATCATATTGTTTGAAAACTATTTAATATAAAATAATATAAAGTATACGTTCATCTCAAAAGAATGAATTTTAGTGTATTTAATGAATTATTAAATTTTAAATTGAAAGATAATGTTTCCAATATCAAGAAAAGAGTAAAGACCCAAATTGGTCCCTGACAAAAAAAGCGGTGGCCAAATTAGTCCCTAAGAAAAATAAACTCGTTGAATAGTCCCCAACAATGTGAAACAGGACCCACATTAGTCCTTCTGTCAATTCAAAAGTGACAGTGTGAATGACGGTGCTGATGTGTCACGTTAAGTGACATGCTGAAGCCCACATGGATATGAAGAACGACGTCGTTTGTTGAAACCCATCCACGTTGGAGACACAGTTCTCTTTCATCCAAGAAATGTCGTCGTGTGTTTGTTAGGGTTCAACTTAAACTAGAAAGCATGGCATCGAATCGAAGGTTGAACGCATGGATTTGGGGAAAATTGATTGACGGTTTAGGGAAGGTGGGTTTATACTGTTCGATTTAGGGTTGTTCTTTGTTTTTATGCCATGATTATGTCTTCTGGAAGGGAGAGCTCATCTAGTTCATTTGGGTCCAGAAGTGGAAGAAGGAGAGCTGCTCCATTGTGTAAATGTGGGAGGCACAATGTTGTTTACACCTCTAAGACACCTAGAAACCCTAATAGATCATTTTTTGGGTGCCCCAACTTCAAGGTGAGGTTGATTTTTTCATGCGTTATTTTTGGTATGTCAATCTTATTAACTGTATAGTTGAATTTGGTCCAGGAAAAGAAGCCACACTGTAACTTTTTTACATGGGTGGGTGATGCTACATCTGATACCATGGAGCTGGAAGATTGGACAATTGACAAGCTAGAGTTGAATGTAGCTGAAATGGAGTTCAAGTTGAACTTTTTGGAAATCAAGCTCAATGATGAACTGCAGCTGGAGGTGAATGACCACAAAAAAAAGATTAATGAGCACTGTATAAAGATTGAAGACATATCAATGAAGATGCAGGCACACTTTGAAATGGTTGAGAAGGAAATGATGCATGTGTGTAGGTGTGCTAGGGTGTTTGCTGGATCCATTATCATTGTGTTTGTAGTATGTATTTATCTTTTTAGTAGTCTGGAGTGAAATGTTCATTTTTAATCTGTAATATGTATGCTTCTCTGTAATGGAAAGACCAGTGTTGGGATGTAATGAGATGTTGTTCATGCAATGTATATAATTTGGTTAATGTCCTTGAACTTGATTGTTCTTAAAGCAAAATCTGCTAAGTATTAAGTTATCTGGAAATGTCAATTAAAAAGTAAAAAGACTGTATGAACACTAACAACAAGGATGAAGGGAATTATACAGAAGGGGGGAATGAGCTTTCTGTGGTAACAACTTTATGTGGCATTGGTCTAACTGTCATGTTTAGCAGGGACTAATTTGGGCCCCGATGAATTTGTTAGGGACCAATTTTTCCAAGTGTGGAAAATAACAGGGACTAAAATGGTCCTCGATAAAATTTGTGGAGGACTTATAAGGTATATAACAGGGACCAATGTGCTAAGTTCAGGTATGTTTACACATGACCCCAAAATGACACAGCATACAAAATATAAGCAGGACAAGCAGTCTGCCAAAGAGATGGTAATGACATAAACAAAAAATAGTATTGTTTGACAGTATTGAATACAGTCATGACATTGAATACAAATAGTAACCAAACTGACATAATCTTCCATTCATTTCACATCAATGACAACAATGAAAAATAATAATGACATAAGAGATTTAGTAATCCAAAAAACATATTCCATTGATATCATCACTTTGTACTTACAATTCCAACTGACATAATAAACCATTAAGTAGGAACACTTTGTCTTCCCAAAAAACAAAGTGTTCATACTTAATATGGCCATAACCAGAGGCATATAAAAAAAAGTCATTGTTGAATAATTTAAACAGGGCCAATACCAAACTAATACAAAAAAACTGGCCTAATTACAATTCCAAGCTACTGGCCTAATAAGTACAAAAAAATGCCAACTGTCACATTCAAACTGGCCTAATGTCAGTCATTACAATTCCAAATCAATTATGTAGGGCTGGCCTAGGTGGTCTGAATCCTGGTGTAGTCATGAAGCTCATGAATCTGGCTCTGGTGCCACTGCTAGCTGCAGCTGCTGTCTCACTGGTCACTGCCTCAGCAGGATTGCATGGTGGTGGGCTGCTGCCTCTTGGTTCAACTGCATTTGGTGCATGCTGGCCGCTTGTCTCTGGTGAAGGGCAGCCCTGACTCATGCTCATGATGATTTCTTCAACTGTCCTTGACTGGCAAACTTCAACTGTCCTTGTCTGGCTAACTTCAACATTCCCTTACATGTCTTGGGGTAATGACCAGTCTCACCACACTTGGAGCATTGAACTGTGTAAGTCTTTTTAAGCTTCTTGTTGGTCTTCATAAGCTCTTCAGTGAGATCCTTCTTGCGATGCTTTTTTGGACGTCCAATAGGCCTTTTCAAGCGTGGAGGAAGTGGTTTTGGGGCATCACAAGCTGTCCAATATTGTTGGGAATTGACTGGGTTGAGAGTGTGTTCATAAGTGGCATGCAAAACATCCACTGTCATCCATTGGTGAACATGATTTTCCACAGGTTCATTCTTGTGTGCAATGGCAGCAATGGCATGTTCACAAGGCAATCCAGTAAGCTGCCAAACATTACAACTACAAGATTGTTGAGTTAAATTCACCCCAACATGTTGACCCTTTCTAGATACTTCATGGAGATCTTGGACCAATTTTCCAGTCCATGTCGGTGTCCAAGAATTGCTTGCAACCTTCAACTGGTCCAGCCTCTTCTGTTGTGCAGGTGCTATCTTACCCCTAAAGGTTTGTAGAATCCTCTTGTGTGCTGCCATCCTTCGCATTATGTAGCACCTCAATTCCTCACACAATGTCATTATAGGTTTGACCCTATAATTCACAAACTTTGCATTCCACACCTCAGCCATATTATTCGTGATGTTGTCACATTTAGGCCAGTGACTGTAATAGGCCTTAACCCAACATGAATGGTGTATATTGTCAAGATACTTCCAAGCTGGTTCGTTTAGAGTCTTCAGCCTTTGCATGACCTTCTCAAATTGGGGAACAGTTGTGCATCTAGCACATTCCCATACAATTCCTCTTGTCTCTTTATCCTTCCACTGCTTGAAGAAGTTCTTCCATACATGTTGTACAGAGAACCTGTGGTGTGAACCTGGCATAATTTCCTTCAAGGCTGGGACAAGTCACTGTATGTGAATGACAAAAAAAAATTAAAATACAATATCAAAATATTCTGTCAAATATCAGCATGTACAAGTACAAATGACAGTGCTGGTGTGTTAAGTGCCAATGTTAACACAACTGTATCAGGGACTAATAAGGACCCCCGATACAATTGTGAGGGACCAAAATGGGTTCCTGATGCTCTCCGGCAAGTATACCGCTCGCACAAGTAATATAGAAAGTAAGTAGAGTATCGTCTCCACAGGGATTGTAAACCAAGTACTACAATAACAATCCTCTTAAGTTGGAAAACACGATTTGTTGTTTGTAAGAATTGTGAATTGATTTTTGAGTAACAATAAGAAATAAAAGTAAAGACTTATTTTTGAATTTTTATTTAAGAGAAATAAAACGATAATAGTGAGAATTGATTTTAAAAATATGAGAAAAATATTGTAGCTAGAGCGCACTCACCTTATGATCCCCACTTCTTCCTTTGGATTGATTCACGATACTTATTCATATAATTACTCGGATAAATTATTATCTAAGAATATTTATTAGTTAACCCTCAATTCCTTGCAAGGTTAACCCTTTAATCCCCAATTGGAATCCCAATTCCTTGCAATGTTCCTCATGGTATTAAGCAATGGACGCAATAATTTAAGCATCCGCAATTAAATACACATCTATTCCTAGCATGCATACCAATTGTTATCCTACCCCCTTTCAAGATCAAAACCCCAATATTCCTATCTAGGATTCTAACCCTCAAACTATTTTCAACTATCAGATTGATCAGTTCTAATAAAGAAAATAGAAAATACGCACAAGGTAGAGACAAAGATAATTATATAAATGAATAAAACTACATCAATCCATCGTAACAAGGGTTCACATAGGGCTCGTGACCCTAACTACAATAAAAGAAAACTAGCCAAGCATAATCATGGCTAAAAATAATCCAATATTCAAAAGCATAAAATTAAGGAGAAAAGAGAAAAAGAACTTGATCCCCAGGAATCCCCTCAGAGCTCTGCCGTCGTCTCTCTTCAGAAGAATAGGTCTGAATCCCTAATTCTGTCATAAGGATCCTATTTATATAACTCTTTTCCTTCTCTCAAAAATACCCCCAGAACAGCACGGTATAATTTTCCGCAAACCGGCGCCAGTTGGCGCCGATACGGCGCCACTTCGCGCCGCGCTTCTGTCCAATTGTGAAAAATCGGAACCAATTTCTCGTAACCTAGCGCAAGTTGGCGCCACCTCCTTGCTTTTGGGCGCCACTTGGCGCCATCTCCTTGTGAATTTGGGCGCCTAATGGCGCCATCCAATTGTGTTATTCTGGCGCTGGTTTGCTTCATGGCGCCACTTAGCATGAGTTTGGCGCTAAGTGGCGCCAAGTCTCTGCCATTTATACTATGCAACATGATGCAACATGGAACTTTCCTCTGTGTGGAGTCGCGTCAACATGCTTTTTATAATTTGTAATTTTCTCTCCTTTTACCTGTAAAAACACAACCAATAAGTGAGAAATATTATTGAAAAGAAAGAATCAATATAATTAGCAAATATGTATTTAAGTTGCTCTTTTATGACTCAATTCTTATCAATTTTAACACAGAAAATCACACTTGCCAGAGGCACATCAAATCATTCCCAGATTTAAACATTGCTGTCCCCAGGCAATGTACAAGACTCAATCCAGGAAACAATTAATTCTTCCAATACAACATCATACAGACAATCAAGAGATCATTATGCTAAGCATGACTGAATCAATGCAAAGAACTCCTAATAATGCCTTCTATTCTCATGAACATGTCAAAATCTATCTTGAACACCCCTCACCAAGATAATCATATAACGCTCAACACTCAAGTGTTTAAGGAAGTAACAATCACTCAATCCATCACAGCAATAACATTACCATAAGCTTGATCATATTCTCAAGTTCCTAAAGATGAGGAACATTAACACATGCATAATTGATCAAAAGGACTTCACAGGTTGTAACTTGGCCAAGCTTAAGGGTAGGAATTTATGGTTAGTAGCTCAAACAACAATGAGATTGAAAAACTGGTATTATTTCACTTTAACATCATCCAACTCAATGGTTTTTCTCCACTCAGATTCCCACAGAATTTCGGAAATTAATTCCTATCAACCACTTTTTCTTTACATTCATCCTTTTTCTTGCTTTTTCTTTTCTTTTCTATTTTTTTTCTTTTTCTCCCTTTGTTTTAAGGGCACAGATGAAATTCTACCTCCCATAATTACTTGACCTTTGTGGAGCTTACCTCAATTTCTTTGTTTTATTTTTCAACACATCAGTAATTCAATCTCAATTAAGGTAAGTCACATGGATATAGGCTAAGCCATCAATCGGGAATTATGAACAAAAAGGCTCAGGCTCAAAGGGGTTAGCAATGGAAAAATTCATACATGTGGGTTATTTTTGGCCAATAGCTAACAAGAACAAAATGCCTTTATCATATCAACCAATGCATGCATCTCAGAGAAATAGAGCAAGTTCTAGAATGCTATCACAATGAGGTCTCTCAGAATAAAATAAGTGTTTAAGCACAAAACCTCACCAGTTATGATGTCAAGCTAGACTTCCAAAAGAAACATCAGGCATCATTAATCATTCAAACACAAAATTCAGACAAACGAACAACCATGAAGTCTACTCATGCCCATACAATATCATGCCAGAAGTTCATACAAAACATGTTTCCTAAGATGAGTCAGACAAGTTAACTAGGGAAAGCATATCTAAACCTGGGACTTGTCAGAAAATATATATATATATATATATATATATATATATATATCACACAAAATAACTATAAAAATAACTAAGAAAATTAAAAGAGTTAAAGCATCTCCCCTGATAGAAGAATTGCAGTTCTCAGGTGCAAGCCTGCCTACCATTCTCAGATTTAGAGAATTGTTGTCCTTAGCAATAATTAAACCACGAGAAAGAAGAAAAAAAAATTGCACAATAGAACAAACAGTGGCATATAGAAGAAACTATAATGCGCACATTAAAACATCAGAGAAAAAATATACTAACACAAAGTAACTAAAGAAAAGAAATATGAAACAGAAAAATAAACTAATATACAAGTTCTCCATCAGCAAGGAGATATACTCAACCCTCCATGTCATCCCCCTCAGCAGCGTGGGATGACTCAGCAAATGGAGGATCTGGTGGTACTGGATGCCTTGGTGTATGAGACCATCATTCCCAGATTTGTTCCAAACCATGAAGCCATGTTAAGAACTCTTTGAAGCTTTGATTTTCCCGAGAGATAGAGTCTCGATGTCTCTTGTCAAATTTCAGGTCCCGATGTCTCTTCCAACTCGTATCAGAGTTTCAGCACTTCCTTTCTCAGTACCTTCTTCCGTATAGGATGACGCTTCCCTTGGGGTTTTCTCCCATGTTTGTCATCATCTTCCTTGAGAATTTTGTTGGTATGGGAAAAAAGATCTTTATTTTTCAATTCAGTTTCCTCTTCCTTCAATGCTTCAATCACCGCCTCCTTATTACCCAAGAAGACATTTTTTTGAGGTTGAGGAAGCTCCTTCAAATCCACCTTCATGGCACCATCTTCCTTGGCATCATCCGCTACACTTCGTTTTTCCTTTAAGACCTCAAGGCTAAAACAATCATCTTTGTGAGAAGACTGTTTTAGAGAATCAAAGACATGAATAGTAACGGTTTCATCATTCATTCTTAGCTCAAGCTTCCCGCTTTCAACATCAATCAGTGCACGAGATGTAGCTAAGAAAGGTCTACCCAGCAAAAGAGGCATCTCGGCTCCCCCTTCCATGTCCAGCACCAAAAAATCAACAGGAAAGATGAACTTGTCCACCTTTACAAGAACATCGTCAATAATACCACTAGGCTTCCTCAAAGACTTATCAGCAAGTTGAAGAGATGCCAAAGTGGGCTTCAACTCGGTGATCCCCAAGGATTTACAAACAGAAAGGGGCATCAAATTAATGCTAGCCCCAAGATCGCATAATGCTCTACCAATTTTTGTGTCCCCAATTTCAATAGAAATTTTGAAACTCCCTGGATCACTGAGTTTGGGTGGGAACTTCTTCTGTATGATGGCACTACACTCCTCAGTGAGTGTTACAGTTTGGCATTCTTGTAGCTTATGCTTTCTTGATAACAAGTCCTTCATGAACTTAGCATAATTGGGCATGCAAGCCAGAGCTTCAGCAAAGGGAATGTTGATATACAATTTCTTGAATATATCCAGAAATCTTTCATAATGCTGTTTTTTAGCATCTTTCTTAAACCTTTCTGGATAAGGTGCCATTGCCCTCACATATTCTGGTTTCAGTTCAAACTTCTTCTTTGCAACTGGCTTTTTCACTTCAGCAGGTTTTTCAATTTCTTTGTCTGGCTCACCTGCAATATCCAGCTTCTTTTCAGCTTCCACATTTATTCTCAGCATTTTTGAAGCTGCTACCACTTTACCACTTCTAGTGGTGACAAACATACAATCCTCCTTTGGATTGATGACTGTGTTACTAGGGAAATTTCCTGGAGTTCTATCAGCAACTTGCTTGGCCAGCTGGCCAATTTGATTCTCCAGATTTCTGATTGAAGCACTCATGTTTCTGGTATTAGCCCTAGTCTCTTCCATGAAAGCATTTGTGTTTTTGGTATTGGCTCTAGTCTCTTCCATAAAAGCATTGGAGTGTTGAGCCATTTGTCCAACTAACCTCTCTAAATCAGAAAGTTCCTTCTGTGGAATAGGAGGAGGTTGCAGAAAGTTGTTTGAACTATAATCAAGACCACCTCCTTGACCTCTCCTCTGAAAATTATTTTTGCCAGGAGAATTCTGATTTCTTTGAAAATTTTGTCGGGGCTTCTGCTCATTCCAAACCCCATTCACTTGCAACTGCTGTGGATTATCACCCATTAAAGTGGGACACTCATTAGACTCATGAGCTTCCCTACAATATTCACACATCACATAAGTTTATTGAACCTTTGGACACTTGCATTTTCTCAAACTTCTCATTCAAGCTGTCAAACTTTTTGGACAGCAGCTTTTGTTCAGCAAGCATAGCATCATTGCTTTCCAGCTTTATTACTCCTTTTTTTGCCTGAACTGGGAAGCTTCATTCTCATTTCTTGCAAGTTTCTTGATCAAGTCAATGGCTTGCTCAGATGTACTCTGCCGAGAGACCCCCAGCTGCACTATTAATCACCAATCTTGTGTCAGGAGAGATACCATTAAAGAAAATTGCTACCTTTCTGTCATTATCTCCCTCAT